AACAACATTTTCTGAAAATGAAAAGAAAGATACACAAACATATGGCTAGGCAGAGATAGATTTTTTTAAAATGCTTAGAGAAGTCAAAAGGTTTAATAAATCCATATAGAATGAAATTCTAGCCCCGCCACTCTCTAGATGTTACCTTGGGCAGAGCCACTGTGTGAACCGCACAACAACAGGGAGTACCATTCACATTATTGTCTATGTGAATGGTGCCCCCTGGAGTTGTGCAATGTCAAAGCCCTGATGGTTAAATGTCTTTACCTCCCTGAGTTGCCATTTCTTCATCTGTAAAATGATGTCAATCATACTTGCCTTCCAAGGTCTTTTGGGAGATTAAATGGGACAATGTGTGTGAAATGCTTAGCACAGAACCCAAGACATGGTAAGGACTAAAAATACAGTAATTATTATTAAGGTAATACCATGAATACGGACACGAAGTCTAACCTTCAACAGTAGGTTAATGAGCTAATTGCCTCAACTGAAAACTGCCTCCTTTCCCATGATACCAGAAGAACTGGATGGTGCCCACCTACTAGTACTGAATATTTTGATCAAAGAGTCTATAAAAGAATCCTGACTAAAAGGGGGGATATGCAGAACAGAATTTCAAATGCTCATGGACTCCACACTTTCTGGAGTTATGGAGGCTGGATGAACCCTTGAAACTACTGCCCTGAGATAATCTTTAAACCTTAAACTAAAAAATATCCCTTGAAGTCTTCTCAAAACCAAATAATAGTTTAGCTTAACTAGTAAAGAATGTCTGCCTTGAGCATTATGCTCTTTCAAGATCTATCTATATGGGATCAAACTGACAACAGTAACTCAAAATATTAGATAGGAAACTTAGGGGGCAGTGAGTTTATGTTAATAGGGGAGGAACAACTCAGAAAAGGAGGGTGAGAATGGTTGCACAACTCAAATAATACAATCAATGTCACTGAACTGTACATGTAGAAACTGTTGAATTGGTGTATGTTTTGCTGTGTGTATTTTCAACAACAAAAAATTAATTTTTAAATTAAATTAAATTAAAAAAAAGAGTACGTTAATATGTAACAGTAGCCCAAGAAGCTATCTCCTCAACACTGTATAACTGGAACTTTAAAAATCACCCATTTACAGTAGAAAAGTAACACATGCATGTTACACGTACATAGTCAGTTGGGCTGATACTGATGACTATAAATTTTACAAAAAGCGTTAGGACGCATTGGCTGCTTTCAAACCTGCAGTCCTGGTCCTGGGAGTTCATGGAAGTGCCTCAAGAGAATGGAGTTAGGCTGGGCTGCTGATCTGCCATCAGAGCAGATCAGCTTTTCTGTGTCCCTAAATACAGACCTCTCTTAACTATTGTAAGTGATGCAAGCCTTAGGATAAATCTGATAAATCTGATTTTATGTAAAGTTTTCCACAAAGCATCTATAAAACATTCATGGTCCATCAACACAGACATAAGCTTGGCCATGACGCAGTATGGCATGCAGGGAAAAGGGTTGGGGCAGGAGGAGATAGCAACATGGGGGGTGGGCGGTGGCAAGAAGCCTTCTCTCCTGTTTGCATTGTTATCATGCAGGAACCCACTAACTCACTTCACAATTTAACATAAGCTGACTTAGACCAAAAAATTGACTCAACACAGGGCTTTCCTGAATGCCATCTGTTTCACTTATCTATTTCTACGTAACAATCCACGTCAAACTTAGTGGCTTACATAAAACAAAACGAGAGACTAAAGGAGCACACCAGCCCAGGAGCAAGGACTAGCAGGCAGGAGGGGACAGGAAAGCTGCTAATAGGGAATCTAAGGTTGAGAAGGGAGAGTGTTGACATGACGTGGGGTTGTTAACCAATGTCATAAAACAATATATGTACTAACTGTTTAATGAGAAGCTAGTTTGTCCTGTAAACCTCCATCTAAAGTACAATAAAAAATAAATAAGTGAATTGTTCCACAAAAAAAAAAAAATTAGTGGCTTAAAATAACAAGAATTTACCATTTCTCCTGATTCTGAACTTTGCCTGGCATTTCCAACTCTGCTGGTTTCCCATGGGCTCCCTCTTCTGCTATAATCAGCTGGAGGGTCGGCTGGGCTAGAAGGTCCAAGATGGCTCCCTTGCATGTCTGGAGGTGCTGGATATCCGCTGGCTGCCTCAGTTCTCCATGTCTCCTCTCATCCTCTGGTAAGGTAGACGAGCTTCCTCACCTGGTTGTCTAAGGGCAAGGTCCCAAGATGACTGAAGCAGAAGCTACCACGCCTCTTGAGGCTCAGGCCAGAGAACTTGGACAACATCACTTCTGCCACATTCTGCTGGTCAAAGCAAGTCACCAGGCACCAGATTCAAAGCGAGGGGAAACAGACTCCACCTGTTGATAGGAGAAGTGGCAAAGTCCCATTGCAAAGTAGACAGGAGCGAAAGCTGCAGCTGTCTTTGAAAACAATCTGCCACGGGCCCTTTAAAGTCAGGCGCTGATGGGGCTGGGCTTCTGTGTGACTTAGTTCTTTAAAAAAAAAAAAAAAAAGCCCACACCTAAAAAGGACAAGTTTGAAAACCACTGCATTAAGACAAAAAGGGCCAGAAAACACTACGAAAATAGGAGTGGAGAGTACTGGTTATATTTTTGTCTCCTAAAGTAAAATCTTCCTGGTGGAAAAAACCGGGCTTTTTCTTTGCAAGCAACAGGATTCCTGAAGAAGCTAGATTTTTCCTCTACTGAGCAGACAGTGAAAGTCATATGATGTGACCAATGAGGACCATGAACATGTCGGGGGGCGGGGTAGGGGGTCAGTCCTCAGTGGAGCAGGTACCTGAGACTTGTTCTCATAGGGCAGATGATGACAGACAGTCTAATACCCCTTGGAGACAGGCCAGTCTATCCAATAAGAAAGAGAGAAGTAGAGTAAGATGAGACTGAGTCTATAGGGAAGTCCACGGGGGCAGGGGGGGAACTGTATTGAATGAAGAAGCAAATGCTGAGAGAAGCAGCAGCTGCTCAGATACAGGGATGCACTTCACCAAAGGGACAAAAGGCTGAAAAATGACCCTCCACAACTCTTCCTTTCCTCTTCTGGAAATCAGGCAGGTAAAATAAGAGAGAGGTTTTGCCAAAACAGCAAAGTCATATTAATATAATAATTGGACACTAAGTATATGAGGAGGGAATCCATAATGCCAGACAACTAAAAAAAAAAGAGAGAGAGAGAACAAAAGAGAAAAGAAGAGAACGGAGTAAGACTGAGATTTACACAATGACCAAACCATCTCCTGCTAAGAAACACTTTCCAGCCCCTTCTGTGTGGACAGGTGGACGAATAGAGTCACACTTGTATGCGTGGGTTTATAATTGGTTTCATTTTATTCCATTGTAAAATGGGTTAATAGTGCATCCATATTGTGGCAACATTCTCTAGCAAATGTCCTAATTAGGAACCCTAACTAGCTTTCCATTATTTCAAAACTGTCCAAATCTGGGTAGACCCCAAAGACCATCTGGAACCTGGACTTATGCCCAGGCAGCAATAGATGTCCTTCATTAGACCTCTCTATGCCCCACCTATCTGAGGGAGTGAAGGGGGATGGAGAGGTACATGGAGGATACAATGGAAAACAGCATTTCCTGCTCAGACATTTGGTTTTATGACTCTATCTTCCTTGCAATTGACTGTGTTCATAAAACTTCAAAGATTTTTCTGGCGCACTGGCTATTTAAAATTATCTGGAACACACATTTATTTAAGTATGCACTGATGTGTATATACATACGCAGAACATTCATCCAAGAAACAGCAGAAAATACCACTCTTCATTTTATCTTTAAACTATTTCAGTTTGAAGGGGAAGAAGCTTTTAAAAAACCAAGAATAACTTCAAAATCCAGAGGGAGGAAATGCTAATAAAATAAAGCCACTCACATTGATTTATCGTTGTATTTCTGCAATCATTGCTTGCTTCAGTAGCTTGTCGCTGTGGTGGGGGTGAGGATGGGGGGGAGTCATCTGGATCTCATGTCTCGTATAAAATCTGATGTGGACTTAAAAATTCAGTCATAAAGCTCCACCAAGTGGATATTTTTTAAACTACGCCAAGAAAACAGCCACTGACTATATGGTTGGCAATGGAGACTGAGGTCCCAGATGGACAGCAGTGACCTGGCTTATCCGTCATTTTGTACATGATTTAATCAGATCAGCATCTTGGGAAAAGAATTCCATAAATGTTAAAATGGACCTGTAAAAACAGGCTGCTGGCTTCCTGAGAACTGAACTGGGCTTAGAAGCTGCCTGTGGCTATGCTAGACCTCACAAGGACTAACAGGATCCGGGGATACACTGATTTACAGCCACTCAGGGAGGTAAAATCCCCCTGTGGCCCCTCTGGAAAAGCTCCCTGGTCCATTTAATTGTGTTCCTTACTCCACTATCTGGGCTGATTATACTGAATTACTTGGCACCCCTGTTAAGCCTGTCACTTAGATTCTAGAACCAATTAAGTTTGTTGAAGGCTTTGCTCTTTCCTTCTATTAAAATATTCATATCTACTCTAACAACCTGATAAAAACTGGCTAAAAGCCTTGCTGGTATCCCCAACAGGGAGGGCCATTTTTAATGAACCCACAGGCATCATAAATAAAAAATAGCTAGTCTTAATACAGAATTGATAGAGCAGCTCTGGCCCCAGATAGGTGTCAATGGGGAAGCTTAGGAGACTCGGTTCGTCAAATGAGTCCCCCGGAGCCTGACATCCCCCAGCCAACCAGCAAACTCCAAAGGCAGAATCTATGAACTTCCTGAACAACTTTCCATAAAAGAGTTGAACCTAGTGGGTTTCTGTTGGGGTAGATGGTAAAGGGTGAGAAGGAGACCCCTCCAGGGGTATATAAGAAAGTGAGGGGAGGACAGGGCATGGGTGATGATAACAGTAACAGCTAACAGATTCTGGTATTTTCTTTTTTTTAATTGTTGTACTTTAAGTGAAAGTTTACAATTCAAAAAAATATGGAACACTTCACATATCTGCGTGTCATCCTTGCGCAGAGGCCATGCTAATCTTCTCTGTATCGTTCCAATTTTAATGTATATGCTGCCGAAGCAAGCACAGACTCTACCATTTTCTATGTGTCAGCCATTATCTACCCAACAACCCTATGAAATGGGTGTATTATCCCCTTCTCACAAACGACGGCAAATGGAGTTTATATAAGTCACATAGCCAGTAGGTAGAAGGTCTGACTTCCAACCCAGCTCTGACCCTAAACCCAAGTCACTATCACCAAACCCCATTAAAAAAAAAAAAAAAAGGTGGCATCAAGTCGATTCCGACTCACAGCGACCCTATAGGATAGAGTAGAACTGCCCCATATGGTGTCCAAGGAGCAGCTGGTGGATTTGAACTGCCGACCTTTTGGTTAGCAGCCTAATGCTTAACCACTGTGCCACCGGGGCTCCATAAAAAATCATTGCAATCGAGTAGATTCCGACTCATACCAAGTCTACGAAGGCTTTATAAAGCTTTAGAAATGCTGTTTAAATGTCTTCACTCTTTCACTCGTTATTTCTTGGGCAAAAGGTAGGGTATAAAGTCAGTAATCACAGCATTCACTTGCTTGGGGGTTAAGCAGAGGTCTGAGAGGCACATCATTTCCCAGCCAAGATCCCTTTCTAAGGCTCTCAAACACCCTGGCTGGAATCATGGCCTCCTTCCTCCCAGGCCAGCAGAGATTGCTTACTCTAACCCTACCCCATGGCCCCACAAGAGACTGCCAGACCTAAAAACCTAAGCTCCACAAAATAAATTAAATATATACTCACACAGCCTTTAGAATCAAGGCAAACTTGGACTATAGCCCTCATGCTGCCATTTGGGGACTGTGACACTAGATATCTCACCTCACTGAACCTGCACTGGGCAATGGGTTTCTCTTTCTGGCCCTGGGTTTGTAGTTCTCTGTGGTATAATGAATTACTTAATATGACCCTTCTAGCCATGGCCTTTGTGATTCACACACAATGATTGAGTGGGACTATGCAAATAAGGTATACGGAACCTGTTACGGTTGGGGTTATGTGTCAACTTGGCTAGGCCGTGATTCCCAATACTGTATGGTTGTCCTCCACTGTATGTGTTGTGGATCCTGACCTCTACATGTTGATGAGGCAGGACTGGTATACAGTTATGTCTTGGGTCACAGCCTTGCAGGAGGGCATGACTCAAGTCCCACCCCTACTAAAGTTATGGCTTTCCCTGAGGTGTGGTCTGCATCTAAGATATGTGTGTGTATCCTGGTGAGGCTCTCTCTCTCTGCATCTGGATCCTGCTTTCGGGTCGTGATCAATTGACCTCTGGTTCTTGGGACTCAACCCAGAGGCCTGCTGTCTGACCTGCCAATTCTGGGATTCACTGGCCTCCACAGCCCCTTGGGCCAGCAGCCTATCGTGTGACCTGATTCACCAGCTTCCACAGCCTTGTGAGCCAGCAGCAGCAGCCTGCAGTCTAGACTGCCAGTTTGGGTTCATCAGTTCCTGCAGCCACATGATCGGGAGAAGCCCTTGCCTGACCCACAAATTTGGGACTTGCCAGTCTCCGCAACCGCATGAGCCATTTCTTTCATACAGTTCGTGAGTTCTGTGACACGCTGCAGCAAATCAGGGAACCGGAAGATGAAAGGGAGAGCACTGAGGGAAGAGAGGGAGTAGTTCATGCTAGAGATGATGGAGTGGTACAGCAACTTGGAAAAGTTGGACATCTGGGACATCTTTAACCTCAGCCTCATAGAAACCAGCTTTGTGCTGATCCTTATAAAAGAAATCATTCATTTACTTTCCAAGATGATGTGCTAGGCCTCCATCTTGTGAGGGGATTCGACAATTTACTATGCAAATAAGGTACATAAAACCCTCGCAGGGATTGAACAGTTTACTATACAAATAAGGTGCCTGGGGCCTACTGAGGGGATTGGTCAGTTCATGGTATTGGTGGGAGGAGGAGGCTTATAAAAGAGTCAATCCCACAGACGTTGAGGGGGATCTCACCACCATCAAGAAGAAGAACCTGGAGTGCAGCACATCCTTCAGACCTGAGGTGTCTGAGCTGAGAACCTCCAGACCCAGGAGAGAGCTGTAACACAGAAGACAGCGAGACAGTGTGAGGTGGCATGAGACGGCAGATGGCTGCAGTGGGCTTGACCCCAAAGACCACAAGGGAGAGAGCTGGGTGCCTTCAGGCAGGAGGCTTGCTGGCTGAGTGGGGTGCCTCCAGGCACTTAACAGCAGAGCCAATAAAGCTGCAGCACTTGCCTGAGCAGAGCAGAGGCTAGGCCCCAGCAGGGGCCCAGCAGCAGAGACCAGGCTGAGACGCGAGGCCTGCCTGTGGGCATGGCTGAGAGAAAGCTGGGAGCTGTCCTGGTTGGAAGCTGTCCTGATTAACAAACTGTATCCTGTCTCCTGAGTTGTTCCTGTTAACTTCCAAGTTGATCCTGACCTGAATTTTAACCTGTTACTTCCCTAATAAACTGCGTAACTGTGAGTATGGTCTGTGCGTTGTGTGTGACCACTGCAACAAATTACCAAACCCAGCAGAGAAGTACAGAGTGCCGTGAGGGGAATGGCTGGTGTCAGAACTGGTAAATAGGTTGGAGAGTGCAGGTATGTCTGACCTCCACCTTATAAGGAATCAGCTTTCGGTTTATGAAGTTGATTCTCATCTCTTATCTCCCCTGAAGTTAGGTGACTTCTGATGCTACTACATTACAGCCTGCAAGTTCATCCATTAAACAAGGATGACAGTCTTAACTGTTCACACCCAGCCTTGTTCCAAAAGGGCTTTAAAGCAGCTAATAAAATGTATTTCACCAAGTTGCTGTCAGAAGAAAATATCATTTTATTAGCACTTGTTATGTGAGAATCTCCCTAAGTGAGCCCCACACGTTGCCTGGCTCACAGTGGGCTGAAAGTAAATGTGTCTCCCACTGGTGCCATGAACCACTCAGATCCATTCTTCACCCTCTCCAGCCTCACTCTACCTCAATACCTTCCCAAGGGCTTTCACACCAGAGCCATCACCCCATTCTCCTAGGGCTCCCACTAGCACAGCTGCATCATAATTTTTCCCCTTAGCTCTTAATTCCTTTCAAGAACTGGTACCTGGAATGGGGTGAGAGAGATGCAGGAGGAGGGAGATCAAGAAAAAGGAGCCACAACAATTCCAGCTTCCCTTTATCTTCATGTACATTCACAGGAAAGGTGCTTAATTAGCAAAAGGGCTACTGTTATAGTTATGCTCCCTGCAGGAGAGATTTACCTCACTTAACTCTAAACTTCCTTCCCAAGGGATGGGGCAGGAAGGGAGAGGGAGGCCTTACCTGGGGCAGGCCAGTGCATGACATCCAACAGAAGACAGAAGAAGGGGCCTGGGAGTGGGCAGAGGTCGCATGTCCTCAACGACCGGAGGTCCAGATACGCAAACCTTCTTCCTTCTTCAATCTGATTGTTTACCTGCTTTGCTTAATTACCAGTTTTAGAAAAGAATCTAATTTTCTAGAATGCTAGCATTCTAGATGCCACAGTCAGACTGCCTGTGTTTCAAACTTTGGGCAAATTGTTCAATCTTTCCATGACTCAGTTTTCTCATCTGTAAAACCAAGATACTGATAAATTCTACCTTGAAAGGTGGCCATAAGTTGGAATTGGCTCGACAGCAACTAACAACAGCAAAGCTATTACCAGCAAAATCGAAGAAAGCAATCCAAATAGAATAAGACTTCTAACTTGTATGAGGAAGGAGTGTACTTTGATCAGGGGGTACGCATGGGGAGGGGAGAGGTCCCTGGAGAGGAAGAAGATGACAAAGTGAGACTGGAGGGCACCAAAGCCAGAAATCAACCTGCAAAGACTGGAAAAATCACCCCTAGTCCCTGACACAGACCTAGGCTTCCTCTTCTACACACTTGCAAGCACTTTACAATTAAAGCATCGATAACCCAGACTATCTCCCCATGGCTCACCTCAGATACCAGGAAAATACCCAAATGAGAAGGGCAAAGCCAGGAATCAGAAACTGACTCTGCCAAAACCGCACACCTCAGTCTGACTTATCGGTGATTTCCCCAGCCTAACTGCTCATCTTAATCACCCAGGGAGTTTGTTTGACCATCTGCTTGTTTTTAAACATAGCTTGCTGTGCCCTACAGCCCAGATGTTCTGATTCCACAGGTATGGGAGATGTCCAGGAATCCTATACTTTTTTAAGTGTTCCCTCCATGATTCTGAATTGACAACCCCTCTTAAAACATGTTTTGAAGCAAATAAGAATAAACACAGATCTGAATTTAAAAGAGAAAAATCATCTTTTAGCTTCCATACAAAAAGAATACATAGACACTGCTTAACAGCACGTTATTATGTTCCCCAGTATAGCTATAAAACGAAATTTTAAAAGGATAAAAATATTCATGTCTGTACAACCTACCAATTCCCAGTTTTAAGTCAGGTGTCCCACTTCATTCTTCTAAACTAATGCTTTAAAAAAAAAAAAAAAAACTGTCGTTTCAATTCTGACTCATAGCGACCCTATAGGACAGAGCAGAACTGCCCCATAGAGTTTCCAAGGAGCACCTGGTGGATTTGAACTGCCGATCTTTTGGTAAGCAGCCATAGCATTTAACCACTATGCCACCAGGATTTTCAAACTACTGCTTAAATAGCATAGAATTTAAAAGCTGAAATAGTCTTGGAGATTACTGACATCAGCTCTCTCATTCACGGACAGGAAGAAATCGCACCAGACAGATGAAGAAGTTTGCCTGAGCTCATCCATCTGGCCAACCTGGATTAGAACCTGGGCAGGCGTGCTCACAGTCCAGTCCTCTCTCTATTATATCATGACATTTTTCAAGAACAGCTTACACTGAAGGTCTTTGGATGCAGTAAAATCAATCTCTGAAAACATGAAGGAATGCCATTTAAGCTATTGCTCAAACTATGGAATTTTAGTCCCAGTCTAACAAGAAGAAACCTGCAGGTCACAAGACCATAATCTACAATGTTCAGGTAACATATTCCCATAAACTAGAGAGAATGGAACAGAACATTGGGTTTTGGG